ATGTTGATACTGCAAGAAAAAAATCCCTGAACCTCTCAACTAAAAGATCTCTCTCACTGGACCCCATCTTCATAGCAAAAATTACACTTGCGTATTGAATGCCATCAGGTGTGTGTGCAAATGCTGTACACGTGCATGCATGTTGATTCAAATGTCTTTGAAATATGGAGCAACCAATGCATGTGATGAAAATTTGAAGTCTAACTGCAGATGGACATGGCAATCTGCAGGAAGTGAGGGCATATGACAGAGACCAATATGTGACCCAATCAGCACAAGGTTGATAAATTTAGCACCGAGCCCCTTTCGGAATGTTACTCATCACTTGACTTGTGGACTCAGCAGAGACCAGCTTGGACAGGCTGGACCAAGTTGGTGTCTTCTTGAGGACAGTAAGTGACCCACTCTCTAACTGGCTGAAATTTATCTGGTTATGGGAGCTGATTGAAACTCTTAAATCTGCACAACGACTTCCATGTGTAATCAGAGCGGCGCAAGTGACTGAGGACACTGTGAATGGAACCGCCTACAAATTTCAGCACCAAAGGATGTCTGTAAACTTAAAATTTGTCCAGTCACGCTTATGTGGGTTGAACCCCCCCCCCTTCCTGACTACTCACCCATCATGGTCTGTGTGATGATGAAGGTGATGGTCGGCCGTCCAATTTCCCTCCAGTTGTGACGGAGGTAAGCCACGTCTGTCTTGCAGATATCCGATAGCAGGTCGTTATCAAGGGCTAAATAAAACTGTTGCTGATCCATGAACTGTGCAATTAGACCAAAGAAATGATGGATTATTTGACATGAATCCACCATTTTGTACAAATCTGTGAAGTGCAACACCGGAATATTCACAATGCATCACAGAATTTCCTTTAAAAATTCTTTCATATTAGTCGTGTCATTTGTAATAGGTTTCCTATTAAGACCAGGCTTTCTCCATAAGTGCTTTCAAAAGTTTTTTCTGTAAGAACATTTTTAGAGAAAAGATGTGCGGTACGTTTTACACGTGACGCGAGCAGCTAAAAGCATACGTCAAAATTGAATGAAGTGAGTTTCCAATGGTGTGGATGGCCACAACACTCAAAAAACAGAGAACCATTGTGGTCACAGAGGGGCAAGGGACGTATGAGGTCTTGTATTCCCCATCCAAACCCCCAAGTCTACACCCCACCTGCATCCTTGGTCTGGGGTCTCACCTGGGGAACAAATGCTAGGATCTCCCCCCGGACGTTGTAGAGTTTGCTGGTGGTCAGCAGACCGTTCTCCTTGGACACTTTCCCTGAGAGACCCAATTTCTTGTTCTCTCCTAAATTGGGAGAAAAAGAAACTCACTGTGCATCAATCAATTTTTAACCCTGCATTAATTTCCTCTTGATACAAAAACATTCCCGTGAGGAATACTGCCTTTCTTCTAGACTCACTTTAGCCTTCGACTGACTTTGACGGGTCATTCCATGAGGTTGGGGCACAATTTGTGACGGTGTCCATTGTTATGTGGGTTCCGTAAAAATGAACAGCTATTTCCCTGCAGTTGGATTCCAAATTATACATCTTGCAAGGCTCAACACAGAGGTGTGCTACCTTTACAGAGTAAATGACCCCCTCTACAGGTCATGACAGGTGGTAAAAGTTACCCATGTAACAAGGACCCGTCACAAATTGTGCCCCACCTCATGGAATGACCCATACACAAGGGCTACATGACTTAACAATGTGCTAGCGCTTGATAGCTTTTAATAACAATGGCACAGTCTGGGGTTGAAAATCCATCTGTTTCTAATTCAGTTACCTAGTCTCTTGCATAAGCGAGTGAGTACACGTGCTGGATAGATACGAACTGGCGAGACCTCCTCAATTGTCTGAATGTCAAAGTTGTGCTTCTTCATCAGTTCTTTTATCAGTTTGTCCTCGGCCACTAAGGAGACTGCAGAAATAGGAAAGAGACAAGTCAGCAGACAATGAAAGACCATTGGAATAGTACGCAAGACTCAGGTCAAATTTTTATGAGTTGTAGATCACATCTGAAAAGTCACCCTGCATTTCAGTGAAGTCTCTAAGAATGCACTCCATGCTAAATGCAAAACTGACTGGTTTAATTCTTTTTACAATGACAAATTACTTTCATCAAAGAAATACTGTGGTAAAAGATCTGTGTTTGACTCTCAATCATGTGACCATTGGCGGATCCAGGAAAGGGCTAGCAATGGCCATGCCTCCCCCCCAAACACATAATCTTTGGAGAGAACAAGGAGGTTTGGGAGAGTACTTCATTTTTTTTCCTTCTAAGAGTGTTTAAAAGGAAAAAATCCTCATCCTTCATAAAGGCGATAAAGGCTACATAGAGAAATTACGAAATTCCCCCTGATAATTTTGGTTCTAGAACTGGCACAAGAGTAAAGTATTTATGAAGTTCCAACAGCTCAAGTCTGACAGACTAGGCAGACTAGTCTGGTAAATTTGGGGGGGGGCACAAGCACACAGTGATCTGTTGCTTTTTTGCTGGCAACAAGGTGCATATCAAGTTCATCTTTTTACTTTGCCTATGATTTTGGCCACACAGGTCAAAGTTTCATGAATCTGATGTCCTGAATTGATTATAATGTAGCCGCATTTCTATAGATCCGCTCATTGCTTTGAGCCAGAGTTTTGAGTGATTTCACTTGATTCCAAGAGTACGTTTGAAAATGGTTCTGGGCTTGAGAAAAAAAGTAGATACAGGTGGCCAAAGTGACATTTGGAAATTGCCAAAATCATGTTTGTACTTCGCTTCAATTTTTATCATCCCAACTGCTGATAAGACAAAATGGACAAAACAACTGGAAAACAGCATGCTAACCGAGTTTTGCCTTTCACATTGACAAGCTGCTAGGGTTGGCTTTCATGTACAACCCTTCACTTTTATCCAACAGCTGTCATCCCTTCAACATGAACCAACCTCAATCAAATTACGTGACAATGCAGGCGACAATGTCTCTCTAAATAGCAAACTAAGGGGAACTAATACCCTGTATGACCAGGTCTGGCTTGGGCTCCATGGACATGCGTCTGTTGAGGGGGTCCACCTCTCCCGGAGCCACAAAGCCCTCCTGGAGCAGCAGGCCCAGGATGTAGAAGGACTGGCCCCAGATGTGAGGGATCTTCCCTCCGGGCAACCGGTCCTGACTGTGGGGGTTCTTGTACTCCAGCGCCACCTGTTTTACAAATGTAGTTGCAGCGTGACTCTTCACAAGAAACGACAAAACTGCACAGGACAATATCTAACTGACAGCCCAGATCTGGTATCTATTTGATTTCACATTACGTACAAAATACAAAAAGAACGTGCAAAATATCTTTTCAGATATCAGTGGGTAATGGACTCCATTTTCAGTATTAAACTCCCTACTTCCATATACCCAGGACAAATGCATAGGCATAACAGATTTGTACACATTCAGATGAAAATTAGCCAATATATTTTATGTCATATGCCAAACAAAATAGTTACAAACTACTTTATCAAACAATTTCTTGCCTGTGGTCATAGCTTGTGCAGATAACTACAATAAGAAAACTGGCTGGTAGCATAATCGGTTCTCAAAGAACCAATACAGACCTTGTCCTTTGGCACATAGTAGAGTTCAGGCACCACCTTGGTGGAGTCACTGAGCAGCACCAGGGTCTCTCGTAAGCCCTCGGCATACTCGTCCGCCTGCTCCTTGTTCCCCTTGAATACGCCCTCGATCAGGAGATAGGCCCAGAACAACGGCCACTCACACTCGATGTTCTCAAAGACCTTCAGCTCAGCTGGATCGTAGTACAGTCGGTTGGGATCCTTGGTATTCAAACAAATTTCTCATTCAATATTGCTGAAGGTGTAACAAGGAACATAGTTGGATCCTGTGTGTCACGTGACCAAATTATGGGAAAGTGAAAAAATGCATGACCAAGTTTGTTACTGGGGAGAGCTGAGTGACCTACACTGGAAGAAAATATCTACTTAATCCTTCAATTGACCTGATGGTTCAAAATGTCATATCAGGGCATTCAAAGGTCAGCAATGTCTCAAGAAGAACTTTTCAAACATATTTGTGAAATATAAAACTCTATATGCTAAGTCACAGTTGACTTTCTGGCAAAACTAAGAATCTCAAGGTGTCCTGTTAAAGGGAAAGTTCAAAAATGAGTCTGTTCACATCTGAAGAAACCACAGTGCAAAGCTAGTTTGGATTTGAAACCCTGGTCATCATAGGGCTGGGCTATAATTTTTGATGTGATACTTGCTTAACATTTTCTGGAATGTTGAAAAAACAGAGGCAGGAAGAAATTTAGCAGGACGATAAATTTATTTATCCCAATAAAATTCCCACAAATATGAATTGGGATGTTTCAGACTCCACACCAACTATGTCAGAGGGAAGACTGGTGCAATTCTTCCTCAGGATAAAACCTTCAGAATGAGGCCTGATTTGCTAGCTTGGGTTACCTCCAGGGCTGTCTTGTACCCATCTCGCAGGAACCTGCAGCATCCGTATCTCCCTTGGAGCTTGTCAATGATCTGCTGGCGGGTCGTGTTGGCAAGGGCTTCGTCGTCGACGGCAAAGGCAGGGAAGCCGATGATTCCGAGCAGACCTGCGTCTATCTCCTGAAACAAGGTAATGCATTGTGGCATGTATCAACAAACACTGTCAGAATTCTGGAAGATGGAGAGAAGCAATCAATGCTGTTATTCACCTTGCCAGCACAAGATGTACGTACAGACATATTCAAGTTCTTCTGCAATGTGCCTGGAGTCGTGAAGAACTCGTCAAGAAATTGAATGGCAGTGGAGAATGGTAAAAGGATCTTTCCGCACCCTCGCTTGCCTCCGCTATGCAAGCGATGCAAGGCCTCAACTTTTCACAACCGTTAAGGCCACATGAAACAAGCACAACCCCAGGACTTGGATCCCTCGACTTGACCTGGGAGGGGTCCTGGGATTTCTCTACCTACCTTTGAGTTAGACTCCCTGGGGAGCATGGAGTACAGGACTGCCTGGCATTTGGCAATCATGTCGGACTGGACATGAATGACAGAGGCCGGACCTCCCCGGGCTCCAAACAGGTCTAGTTCATTCAGTGCCTCCATGGCTGCCTGTCAGTGGGAGGAAGAAAAACAGAATCAAAGGGTGTAAATAATGCCATTTTGTGAAATAAACACTGTACAGCCCTTGAAAATACACCTTTGTGTCTCTATCAACCTCAGTTACAAATTTAGGTTTGATGGTATAAAGGTTATATTGGTGTCTTTAATGCTATTTCTATATTCATGGGCAAAACTGTGATGTCACCCTGGGAAGAAAACTTCAATGTTTTATTGATTTGTGCACATAAAAAGGCTGCTAGTTACATTTGAATAAAATCTGGTACACTAAGCTCTTTAAATTCATATGAACATAATTTAAATTCTCCACACTAAAGACACTGTTACTATACCTTGTCATGTGATTCGGGGAAAGTATTGTCAACCGTCCCAGGTTTAATGTCACTTTTTTTTTAGTGCGCCTTTATAATTAGTTGAAGTGCGCCCTTTCTCACCATGTATCACAATGTCTAGCTCTGTAGGAATGCAGCGCTGCTTTGTACAAATTGTAAGTTGCGGTGTTGCGTTTGTAGAAGTTATGTAACTATTGCATATTTAGAGTTCCACTGTTGGGGTGGGGCAAGTTATTTGGCTCATTTCTCTATATATAGTGCGTCTTGCAGGTTAGCTTTGCTTTTCTGCCTTTCGTCTTGCGAGGTGCACTTTTCTATGTCCTGTTAGTGTCTTTGCTGCACACTGCATTGCATTAGTGTGGGATACACATCTCCATGTGAAGTTCACACATTGATATTGATAGTGCTCCTAACTTATGTTGTGATCCAGCCTAGTTCGGGTGTAGTCCCAATATTGTAAAAGTATTGAGTTTGAAACTCGGCAGTATGGTATGGTGAAAGTGGACACATGACAGTTCCATCATCATATGTACTGTCGTTTACTTTTGTGGGTGTTTTGGGGGTTTCTTAAGGTTTTTTTTGCTTAACCCTCCTATGCAAATGTCATCTGGTGCAATATTTTGAGCAGTCATTTTTGCCAGTCAAGTGTCTGGTCTAAATCTTCAGTGTTTAACCACCCATTTGTATGATTTTTATAGTGCCTTCCCACTGGCCTGCTGTCTGTTTGATAAATCTTGGCCAGTTAGGTGGTTAGGGTTGGGTAGTTTGTGCATGGTGGCCAGCCAACAAAAATATATGCCAGGTTGGGCCAAATTGGATTTGACCGTCCTTTGACTGCACCAACATTAATGAGGGTTAAGGTAACTTGGATTAATCTGAATTAATAATTCAATGTACATGAAAATTTTCAATTTTAATTAAATCAGCAGTCTATTTTCGTAAATTGGTGGTTTGTTTGAAATTTCTTTACTCTGCATCACTGTTTCCTTAATATTTTGGGTTATCCACCACCCCTCTCTCTGGTGAAATTTAACCACTCGGTAACATTTGCTTAGTTACACAAGAGAAGCCTTGTACCAATACACTGCTTTTAATGGATAAAAATGGCACAAAGGAACCAGTCCATTCCAGAGATGGTGGTCGCCATGCAAAAGCTTACCTCGAATCCCGAGGTATGGCAACAGCATTTTTAGTCTGGGGGAATTTCAATTGTTATGCTTATGTGCAATCAGAGGAAAGAAAGCTGAGCAAAAAAAGGTCTAAGAAAAATCAAGTGCTTGGAACATTTAACTTCAGTGGGATATATTTGTACATTTACAAACTTTAACACTCAGCAACATGCTCACCTTTGCCATTCCAATGGAGCTGGCGTTCAGTTCAGGGAAGCCATGGTTTGTCTTGTCTCCTCTTTCCCAAATTCCATAATCCTGTCCAAGAACAAAATCAAACAGATTTTGTTCCTTTCAAAAGGCTGTTATCCCTGGAACTTGAAAAATATAACTAATGGGGTGGGGTCAATAGTGAAACAGGATATGCCTGGCATTCTAGATGGTGCCCCATTGTGAACACTTACAGGTATCCGATAGGCATGCTCTATATAGAAGACCAGATTCTGGATAAAGGCTACTTCATCGAGAGAAAATATGATCTGCAGTCCTGTGAAAAAGGAAACCGAGAAAGTTATTCCATGTTTGCTGTCCATGTTGAGTGTGATGATTACCTTGATCACCCAACGGCATTAACTCATGTCCTATATGAACATCTCAGCGCACACGTAAATTACGCAAAGACGACATTCTGCCCTTTCTAGAGATGTATTTCTCTTTCCTGTATATAAAGTAGTTTTACAGTAATTTTTATCTTCGTATACTTTTAGTGCGGACGCCCTGTATTACACATGAGAGTACAAAGTACGCTTACCTGTGCGCCAGTTCATTAAATCAAATTGACTCATTATGTAGTTTTTACCTAAACAGTACTTGCCTGTTAGATTATGAAGACAGTGACAACTGTATTATAGGTTAACAAAGAAGATTTCCAAAAGGAAAACACTTTGGTCAGAAAATGTGCAAACATAGTAAGCAAATAAGCAAGGACCATTCAGAGTTTTAATTGTACTTCTACACATCTAAAGCCACCATTAGTTGCTGTCGTTCAGTCGCAACAATCCAGACAGTCAACAGTTCAACTCACTTTAACCTGCTACATGTACACTTACATGTCTTTATACACAGGCTAGTCACTGACAGTCCAATCAGAATTCTGGTTGGTACTGTGACCAGGCAGATTCCCCAAACAGACAAATGCAGGCAACTGGCAGACAAAGCTGGCTCATCAATCATTGACAGTCAAATAACAGTTGTATCTAGTTATTTGAACAGAGCCAGTCAGTTCTGCTTTATGTAGGCCTGAAAAACAGTTACTCAATTGAGTTTGATTGAGTGGACAACTTTGTCGGGAATGGATGGTTGCATAGGAGGGTTAATCCCCACATCCTTGTTGGTCCTACCTGAAGCAGTCATCTGGGCCAGCATCAGTAGGTACAGGGACGTTGCATCAATCTGCAGGTGGCCCCACTCGTGGTCCCCAACGCAGGTGTCGCCCGTCTGGATGTCGTACTTGGCGTGCAGGCAGTCCTTGCGGCTCTGGGTCTTCTTGAAGGCTTCAACCTTCTCCACCTGCTTCATCATGCTCACCAGCAGGCCCCGCATGAGTTTTACTACGTGCTAGGGGAGACATGCGTGAATGGCGTGTGAGGAGTCAGGCTGGGCAGTTAGGTTCATTTTAATATGCAGAGCAGCTCGAGCGACGAATATCCTACTTCAACCTGCTCCCCGTGGAGATGAGTCCTAATTTTTTTTTCTGAAAATTGCCTTATAATGCAGAAAGAGCATCCTGCCTCCAGGGAAACAGTTCCTCAATTCAACAAAAACAACAATCTGTTTTGACGACAAAACCTTTCATGAGCACCCCAAAAAAAGTTTTGGACTTGTTCTCTTGAAAATAAGCAAACTAAATTCAAATTGCAATAGAGTAAGACATGCTACCTTAGCCTGTCACAGAACAGTATTGACAGCGACCTGTCTTGATGAAGGTGATACTCAGTGTGCAAAATTGAATTGAGGAGAACAACTTGTGTGGTCGCATAAAATCTGAGGTCATCTGACTGTCTGACATAAAGGGTCCATTACTTCAAATACTGGGGGACTAAAGGCTGGTTCATACTCAGCGCAAAAGCAAATACAAATGCGAATAGTGATGTCATGATCAATTATTTGCGTTGGGTGACGTCATGATCAAATATTTGCGTTGCAAATTTGCAAAAGTTGAACACATTCCAACTTGGGCAAATTTTGCTACAAATGTTTTGAAGTGTCATTTCACTTAGTTTTCATATCTGACTGAAGTATAAACTGGCCTTAGGTCTGTAGATCTGTCTTGAATCATGACAACCATGTAGGCCACAACATGCAGCTATTACCTGCTCTAACTCGTAGGCCTTGGCTCTGTCCTCATCCAGATCTGCCTGCTTCCTATACGCCAGTGCCAATCCCCAGACCGAGATGACACTGTACACGTTGTCTCGTACCCAGGCATCTTTGAGCACGGTGCTTGCTGGCAGTAAACCAGTGACAGGATGCTGTAAACCATGAAAAGTATTTCAAATGTGTTTGAATTCATGTGCTTGCACAGAGTTGAAATAACAATGCCAACCGGAATTACAGTTAAAAAAACGGTAAAATAAACCGAATTATGCCAAAATAGATTACAAAAAAAGTGGTCACACTTCCATTTTCCCCGTTGGCTGAAAGTTGAACATATGAATTCACAATTTCACATTAATGAATGAAGCATCAGAGAGCAAATGTTTAAATGAGACTATCACGTCATGTTTCAGGCCCATTTTTATACAAATTCACACATACATATGGAGCATATACACAATGTACAGTGTCATACGACTTTATACGAGACATCAAATGTGTGATTGCAAGGCATAAGGTGCAAATGAATGAGAAATATACACCCAACATACAATACAAATAGAGGACATGCGTGGAGCGCCCTCACAAAGGACAGGTCTTTGTTCCTGTGTGATATGATTGAGTAGACTTAGACACTATGCCTGAGTTCGGGCAGCTTGTTCCCGTATGTTCACGAACAGCTCGATTTGTTGTTCGTGGGTCTGCCACTCGAACGCTGGGAACAAACAACCGGTTATCGCTGGTAGTTAGTGGCGAGCAACATGCAACATCGGGGCGTCCAAGTAGGCTACGTTATTCGAGAGTTAATGTTTGGATGGGCGGAATTCTTTTCTATATAAACAGGAACATTCATTTCTGTGTTACGGAAAATAATTAATGTTAATTTTGCAAAACTTCTCATTGTCTATGGCTTTGGAAGCCTTCTCTCTACTTTTTGTAGCTGTTCAAAAATCAAAATCTCACGAGTTTTTCCCTGTGTTCCTGTAAAACCCTGACGAGGAGGTGGTGTGTGATCCTGTTCCGAGAACAGTGTTCTTGAGTCATGTTCCCACCGTTCGAGCACGAGAACAAGAAAACCCATGTCAAGAACAGGCCGCCCGAACTCGACCATCAACACTTCATTGTCACGTGTATGTTAATCTAAATAACAAAACATGTGAGGGCGCTCCACACTGGCCCTCTCTTACAATGGCTCATAAAACAGTGGACGAGTACAGGTATTGCAAGGAGGTGGCAATGACGCAGGCTGTAATACAGCAATGATACATGAGCTCTAATCTGATAGGCTTATGAAGTCATGAAGTAATATTGGGCTCACTCGATCGCGAAGGGGGAATTTTGTCATTATGCTGGGTGCAATCACCCTACCGGTCTGCAGGATTGGCCGATCCTGTATGAATATCCTCAACTTTGCTTTCCTTTTTTGAGAACAATCTTTGACTTCCACAAATTTTAAAGGAGCCACCATTAAAGGAATGATGGAACTGTGCAATAAGATCAACAGATCATATCCAACAAATTTGGTTCTATGCCGACATTGGAAAAAATTACTGAAGTTAAAGCTATGGAAACAGTTTCATTCACAGATATCATCTGACAACCTGTGCACAAACTCTTTGAGACTGCTCTGGAAAACTCTAACTTCTTCTGAGTAAATGCTTCAATAGTTTCACTGCTGAATATGATGTTTTGGGGCATGTTAATTGTATTCCCTTACTGCTGGCTTATCCATGTTATCAATCACTACATGACAGGTGTTGATGTCGTTGTGATGTCCCTCGTTTTTTGTTTGTGTGTATTCTACCTCCATGGTGTGTCTGACTGATTGTTGAGCAGGGTCACAGAGGCACACCCATTTGGCGAAGGTGATATTTTTCACTCTTGCTTTTCTCCAAGGCAGTCCTGCATTGTGCTCTTCTTTTTTTACTTGTGTACGTCTGTCTTGTCTGTCTCTTGCTTAATCATTCCTCGTCTTTTATAGTGATTGACCATTTGCATGTGTGCCTCCTTTTTCAATCTGTGTTGATCCTCTTTTTATATAAATTTTGGATATAATTTTTATTGTATGTACATGTATATTGCGTGTTGTATATTTTGAATCTGCCTGAATAAATTAATAATAATAATAATAAACTGTCATGACTGTCGATCTATTGCAACACTTGCTGACAGTTTTGCCAGCAACCAATTTTTTTTTCTGTCCACTTTTCTTTTCGCAGCTGTGGAAGATCGGGAAAGAGTTCCATTATGTCCATATTGGCCTATGGACAACACCAATTTTCCCTTAAAACATTTTGTAAAATGTTATAACAGCCATCAGAAAGTGCTGTCCCAAAAAGTGACATTTAGCTGAGAAAATTCCAAAGCATTTACATACTTATAGACTTTTTTACACAAGTCTCATGACCTATAGGTTTGTGCACAGGGGCATCAAGCATGTCAAGTGTTGTCCGCACATGGAAGTTCTTTTTCCATGCTTTCCGAAGGTTGCTCTAAAAAGGGGGAAGTAAAGTCGGGGATTTCATATTTTAGGTTCGACCATCCTCCATGATTTGACCAATCGCACAGCGCGATCGAGCATCAACCGATAGCGCCCAAATATTGCATCGATGCGTAGCCACAGGCTAGGTACACCTTGCATCATAACGTTAGTTCATGACGTGTCCTATAATCACAATGGGTAAATTACCTGGTGAGAAATGATGGTTTTTGTGACCAGACGATGGTAGTAATCAAGTCGTACACCCGAATTACTTCTGCTTCGCATGGTTGTGTTACTAAATTATGTCATTTTCAAGAAAGACGGAATTAAGCGAACTACATTCAACCCATCTTCTCAAACAGCATACAGCAAACACACGCCTACATTGTAAATCCTGCAAGGGAAATAGTGTACGGGATCATCTCGAATGCCAATTCGTACACCCAAATGATTTGTTTGGTTTTTCAGAGCAAAGCTAGAAAATCTGTTCTTATCATTGTTATGCAAGGAAATCTATGGTGTTAAATTTTGCCTATAGTGTTTTTTTTGTTTTCTTCTTTTTTCTTTTTTCGAAAGTGGTAGGATATACGCCTACGTTAAATCATGGAGAAATAAATTAGGAGCCTGCATGCCAATGAAAACGACGAGAACATTAATGGGGAAGATCCCTTTATAGGTCCGCTGGTACATAAAGCAACACATTTCCGGTTATTACAATTAAGTAGGTTGCAAACTAAAAATTTACATTTTAAAATATAAAAAATAATATTTATATCTAATAAATTTATTAAAAATGTCAACATCTTCTGTAAGTCTTAGAAATTTGGAAATCAATGAAATTTAAAAGTACAATTATTTCATTGGTCAAAGGTCATTGTAAACTCGGGAATCGAATCGGGAACGACTCCGCCATTTTGCTGTCGCTTACCTAAGGGAAGGACGCAAGTCTTGGTTGTTACGACTAAAAGCTGAAGGTAAAGAAGGTTTGTAAATTGCTCATGTAGCTAAACATTCCAAGAGCTGATATAAGTTTCCGTTTCACTTTCAGTTAGTCTTTCAATTGCAGTTCCTTTTGACGCATGACTCGTGAAATCAGCAACTTGGCCTAACATTGCTTAACATGCGTAACGTTGACGCGGTGCACTGTACTTCGACTTTCACTTAGCCTAACTTTCCTCTCAGCATTTGCCAAACCTTTTCATTGAAATATTCATCTGGTTAAACGTGTTGAACATTTGTGAACAATTTCAGTGTCCTGAAATTTCGTCCGAATTACAAATCCAAAAATGTCGGCGTAAGGAAATTGGGCATGTTGGGCTTGAATTCAGCTAAGTGTTCCCTAGCCCCCAAAATAGGGCTGTGGTGGCTCTCTTTTACAATCTTTATTTACCTGTCGCCACCAAAGCCCTACTTCAAAGCATGTCTTAAATGCCTGAAATCCAAATTGCAGGATTGTCACAAACTTTGAATCCTAATACTTCCGAAACGAGAACGACTCGACAATTTTACTTACATTGGCGTATTCCTCAGAGCTTGGACTTTCATACGAGCACCCGAAAGCTTTCCAAAAGCATAAATTTTCCGATGTATGGCGCTTTGAAAACCTCAGCCTGTGCTATAAAATGCTGACCACGGGCGGCACCATTTTGAAAAACGAAGGCAGCACTTCATGCATCGGATTTCAAGGCACCTGACAGGCGCTCTGGTATACGTTGTACCATACAAAACTGGTTCCCCGTAATACCTTACATCACAGAAGAACAAGGAACCTATGAAATTGAATTTGAATAACATTAATATGCATGTATATATCATGCTCCACACACGTGCTGTGGGCGTATTGTACACTAGCAAAGGGCGCGCAACTTATTACTAAGCAATACTTTGACAACATGAGTTATTCATCTACGGCACCTGGCGGGTGCCTTGACCTCAGACACATGAAGTGCCGCCTTCGTTTTTCAAAATGGCACCAACCGTGGTCAGTATTTCATAGTGTAGTCCGGATTTTTCAAGGCGCCATACATCAGAAAATTTACGCATTTGGAAAGCTTTAGGGTAATCGTATGAAAGTCCAAGCTCTGAGGAATACGCTCTGAGTCGTTCTCATTTCGGAAGATATTAGGATTCAAAGTTTGTGACAATCCTGCAGTTCGGATTTCAGGCATTTAAGACATGCCTTGAAGTAGGGCTGTGGTGGCAACAGGTAAGAGACAGAGATTGTAAAAGAGAGCCACTACAGCCCTATTTGTGGGGCTAAGTGTTCCCAAACTTGGCACACTTAGAAAAATCTCAGAAAATCGCTCATTAACATTTTCAAACTTCTTTAAAGTTGATAAATTCTTGTAAAGCATCATTCCATTTGCTCACCTACCCATCAACAAGCGTGTCCAAATATTATTTTCATATTTTTGAGCACGTTCTAAGTGTTCATTTTGTGCATCAGAAAAAATTCGGAAAATCGGATGAAAATAAACTTTCATCAAAACACAAAACTGAGATTTATGAATCCGAATAATAAGAGTTTGATTAAGTTTACTTATTGTGAAATTTGAGCCAAAAATATTGCTCCGGTAACCCTAACCATCGAGCTATTAAACACAAGGAGTCAGCACACACAGAGATCAAAAGGGTCAATGATGGCAACCGCCACCACGTGCATGTGCTGCAAGGACAAATCTAATTCCGCACCACTTGCAGGCTGTAAGGAATGCTCAGAGTTACATTTGCAAAGGATTGTGAGTACCGAGCAGCGCATGCGTGTCCGTAACAATTCCACATGTTCAACATTACAGCCTTGAGACAGAAACCATTGTCATCGAAGACTTAAATTTCGATAATTTTAGTGATTGTTCTGATATTCCAATGACAATGAAAGTATGGTTATGTCTTTACATGCCCAAAACGTCTCTCTTCACGATAAACAGAATTACTAATACAAATTCTCCAAAAATACGCACAAAAAAACTGAAAGAATGTAGCTGGTCCAGAGGAAAATACAAAACACAGAAAAACATGGGAAGATTTGTTGTCCTTTCTGTCATTGTCCACAACTGTCTCTCCACAACTGTCTCACCACGTTGTCAAATGCATTCCTGTGGCATGTTTCCACCTTCTTTTAACTGTAGGAACCACTAGGATTGCGACTTATGATATAAAATTTGCAGTTCATATTTTAGGTATTTGTTCTCTACCGCCAAAATTGCAAAATGTCATAACTGACTTTAAAAATGACCGACTTTTGCCAAATAACCACTGCTGATATGGAATTTTCGAGCGCATCTGTAGAGATCACTCACTGACTCCTGAGAACTACTGAAGAGAACTGCGCAGCTTCTTCGTGCATCTTTTCCACCATTTATTTACTCCAGTATGCCTTAGCAAAACACGGCGAGTATGTGGGTTACCAGCTACCTGGCGGTGGCGATCACTGTGTACAAAGAATGTCTAAGGGTCTTTAACACTGGGGCCGGTAACCGCGCCTTGCCTATGGAGCCAACCGGAGCAGTTAATCAGATTACGGTCTGTAGGGACTTCCTTCTTACTCCTTGTGTTTGGTAGCTCTATGCCCTAACCCACTAGGGTCTTTTTACCAGGGCACATCCTCAATCCTCCAACATGTCCAAATCTTCCAACTGCCCAACTTCAAAAAACTGCATTTATCCTCAGTCCTCCCAAATCCTCCATTTTGGGGGGCTTTTGCACAAAATGAAAGGTACCTGAATCTTCAATCCTCTAAAATCCCCTGTGGCCCTACTTTGGATTTTGGGGGGGTTTTTTTGGGGGGGGGAGGGGGGTTGGGCACATCAGTTTGGTTGTTGAGCTGAGGCTATTTTTTTGCAGAGTTGGCTAATGGCTTTTGCTTTTGTAATAAACAAAGCAGACATTTAACACTCTGCACCTGAGAATTGTATAATTTATGACCAGCAGCAGTGAACAATGGTAGATGTAGATAGGTACATGTATATTATAAACAGTGTAATGTGTGGCCATATGCACACACCGCTATGTGACCGATTTTTAGTACTTCATTCACCATTCATCCTCAATCCTCCAAAATCCTCCAGCTTTTAAATCAGTATTCATCCTCAATCCTCCAAAACCCTCCATGTTTCAATCACCATTCATCTCCAATCCTCCCAAATCCTCCAATATTCAAATACTCATTCATCCTCAATCCTCCCAAATCCTCCAAAAGCATCTGTAGGATTTTGGAGGATTGAGGTGGGTTAGGGGTAAGACGCGAGAGGTGAAAAATGAAAGTGTTCCATGTGTGCATAAAGTGCGCCTCTAATCTCCATTATAATAGACTTATATCAATCATACTTTTACCCTCCGGAGCAATTGATAGCAAATAATTACTTCGACATTATTGTCTCATTTGTTTTTACTCATCTTACACAACTTCTATAGGCGTTCCTCTCTCCTGTAAAGAACTGTGAAGCCTTTGTACCTGTATCTCCCTTGGTGGTGGTCTTTGTTGATTTACTTTTAAACGACAGGCGTCTTTCAACACACAGTCTGCACACAGCATTAACTAGGTTTTTTTCTCCTAGAGTATAATGAATTTTATTGCTAAGTTCTATAAAATGCCTTGTACATCTGTATTGCAGTCGTATGGCAACCAATCTTGTAAAAATTTTGATGAAGCTTGGTTAGTATTTTCTTGTTTAATTCAGTAACTACATATATATTATTTTGTATAACTTGGATGTCCCTGTCTTTCCTGTTATTACGGGAAAGAAATTCAGATTCATAACAAGCAGCGAGCCATGGTGGCTTTGCCGTTCAATTTTTTTTCAAAATGGGAGATTTACAATAGTGCACCTCCAAGATTTTGCAATGCATTCGCCAATCACAATGCGCAAAATTTGTTGACCCTTTCCAAACGCACTTGGGTTGACAGATTTTGTGCATTGTGATTGGCCAGTGCGTTGGAAACTCTTTGAGGCGCACTCTTGTGAATCCTCTGTATTGCATAACCTGAACCTCTACTAAGGCTTGAGGGTGCCTTCTTGTTTCTAGAAGGCAATCTTGTACCTCCCGGTATTTCAGAAAAATCATCTTTGGGAGGGTTTAACCCCGTAGGATTTGGAATCAAGTTTAACATGTTAAGGTGACAACATGCATGCATGTAGAATTCTACTTTCTGAAACAAAAATTCTGGCTACTCCAGATATCCTTAAGATTTCATAACTGGGTTTTTAAAGCATCTGACGGAAACATAAAATTTTTTGACAGCAGTGCATGAAATTTAATTTACCAGCGGAGGGCCTGTTGGTGCATGACATCTGAATTTTTTAGGTCTCTGAAATTGTAAAGTTGGTCATCTTCCCAAGGAAATAATTTTCCCCCTCTCATCTACCGGAAATATTGTTGGAAGAATTGCAGGTTATTTTTTAATCCTTTTTGCTTGTGTTATGACAGCAGATCATCATGGGAGGAGACCACCGTTTTGGCAAGCTAGCCAGATACAGGAATGTCATCACTTATTCCCTGTCCCCCTACGAGCAGAACCCCTTTGCAGGCATCTTCAAGAAAGGCATCCCCAACATGTGGAGAAGATTCAAGGGGCAGGTCTTCCGAGTTATCCCACGTAAGTGTAAATCAGGTTGTTGGAGAGAATCCGGGAATGTGTCTGTCTCTTGCTGTGAGTGCAGAGTGCTGTGAGTGATTTGTGTTTGATAAACCAGTTTGGCATTTTCATTGCAACATGGGATTGGATGATAGACAAGCCGTGGACTTTATGCATTAGCTTGTTGGGGAGGAGACCCTGTCAAATATGAATTTGTTTCCCCATTAAGTTACGGAGGGACATAAAGAATTTTTTTGAAAAGACGTAAACCTTGTAACAAGAAAACTTGCCCTCATGGCTGTACAAATGAATATGATTGGTCAGGGTAGGATGAAGGATCTTCAGATCCAATACTTTCTCGACATTCACTACTGTAATCCAGGACAGAAACTATTTCCAAGGGACTTCCCAAAATTTATTTTTCTTCTGAAAGGTTTTAAAATTAGATGTTTTTGAACAGTTTTTCCATATCTTCAATATCATACTTCATGCTGCATGACAAGGTGATTACTTGGGTTAAAGTGTATCATAAAGTGGACACCGATTGCTACTGGCACAGTTGTTCCATAGGCTTGTGTATGAAATGCATTACTTGTTCGTCATCCAACCCCTTGATGCAGTGCCCATGTTGAAAAGATCTGTCAGCCCTTTTCTGCTGTGTTGGACCAAATATGACCGATTCTTCCCTTCTCTGTTCAGCCTTCGCTCTGGGCTACTTAATCTATCGCTACGGGTCAACTGAAAACAAGAAACTAAAGAGGAAAGACCCCTCGCTATACGTCAACGACGAGTAAGCAACCCGCGAAATGTGTGCAGTGAGAGACTTGTCACACCCTCGCCTTTGAACCTGGAATCTGAATCTCAACAGTTGAACATAAAGCAGTGATAAAGAGAAAAGTACAAGATTCAAGCAGTAACACAGATAAAGTGCAAGTTTCAAGAAGAAAATGATTCAGCAAGCCTCACTCGGTTCCAGACAGCAGAAGTAGACAGCACCCTATAGTATCTACCAGAGAATCTTCCTCAAGGTTGAGTTCAAGTGTGTTTCATCTTGAGCGTGATCTGCTTCGGGACTGATTTCAGAAAAAAACATACATATACAAGTTTATCAGAAAGTTGCCATAGACTGTAAGGAACTGCATGCGCTCACTTCACCGATGACATCATCTAGTTTCAAGTCGGTTGGGTTTGACTTAGTCTGTGAATTAGATGTTGCAGTGAAGGTTCGACAGTGATTATTTGAAAGTAAGAGGTAGTGGATGGGTTTTTTTAATGCTCAATTTGTACAGCAAAACATTCTCTCATCCCCCATGTAAATGTGATGTAAATCCCAGCTTCATGTTAACTTTGGCTACAAAGATTGTTTCATTGCAGTAAGCACTAAAGTTAAATGCTTATCAAAATGTTTGTTATTTGAAATTGAAATAAAAATGTGTTATTTGCATGTACATGCTCACTACTGTGGTTTTAAAGTGAATGTCGCTACATGTTTAAAGAAACTGTCATGGTTAGTTTGCCTTTTAAGTTCTTAAGTTGTGTGACCGTGGCCTCTTTGTGATCCACACTCTATTGGAATCCCGTCTGCAGTCCGCCTCACTGAAAATTTATTTTGTTCGAACGAGGTGGGACTTCGGTAGTCACACCTCTCGCCATCCATACCCGAGGCTGGGATTACTGACGCGTGTACATGAACGGGTTACGTTCATACTGCTTCTACATGTACATGTAAATGCTGCAAGATATTGTCTCTGCGTGCATGTGAATTACTTGCGCAAAGAAATATAAAGTGGTGCAAAAGAAGTCTTGTAGACATTCACCACGCTGTCTTTGTGATTACGTGAAGCGTTAGCTCGTAAATCTTTAACTTTTGCACTTCGAATTTAACAGCTAAACGAATGCGCAAAGCGGGACACTAAGGCGCCAAAATTGTGACAACGATTATGCAGTTTTCAGGCATCAAGTTAAGCTCCTCATATGGAAATGGAGAGGCATGCCTGCATTCGTCTTCGGTGTGCTTCACGGCCAAGGCCGACATTCTGGCGTCATTACAGCAATCACGCGTCGTTTTTCCCGGATCTCTTTATCGCCTGCTCGCGGTTTATGTCGCCAATTTGCTAATTATTGCGAAATGGCCAAAGTTTGACCGCCCGAGAACCGGTAAGTGCTATGATGGAAATGTTCGCCGCTTTAGCACTTTTTCTTCCTCGGTGATGATGCGAGAGCAGACACGATTCTCGGCGCTTCTTCGCTGATGGGTTGTTAGGAACCCCCCCCCCCACACACACACACAAGGTGCGTGTCCCTCGCATGACCTTAAGACAATGTAAAAGAAGTGCGTGTACATGGATATGGGTCATTCTATAAATTTGGGGTCCAAAAGCGTGTCCTTGTTACATCTGACCTTTGTTATTTGACATGCAAATATCACCGGAATTTGATTTCAAATTTAAACTATTACTACTTGGCAGGTAATTTGTATTATTTAGTCACTCTTTAAAATGAGTTCGTAACTTACAAAATGTTTTGTCAGACGTGACGAGGACGCAAAAACTTTGACCCCTAATTTGTAGAATTACCCATATATATATTTTAAGTTTATGGCACTTGTCAAGGTTTTTGCGATCTTTGGACGGGGGGGACTCTGACAATGTATCTTTACCTCATTTTTCCTTGTGCCAGCCCCCACCCAAGCGTTAAGGTTATCTTCAGAGGTCGCAATTGGGGTGTTTTCTACCCCTTGGAGCTCAAGAGTTCCGTGGTTACACCTTGGCCGTAATTTCTGCCTGCGCCGACATAGTAGTACATGTACATTGGCATGTGTACACGTAGGTTTCTATTCCGTCTCCATAGCTAATTCTGTTCGTGTCTTTTTTCGGTGTTCCCCATGCTCGATTATTTGCATCCTGTTCTGATCGGATTCGGCTTTTTAAGTCGCCCCTGGATGCCTTTTTTATTATTTTCATTTGACTTGCATATTAATCTGAGACATTTATAAAGTGTTCAAAATCGGCGGTGGTAATGTCCTTGCATTAGATTTGAGTTGAGCATTATTCAGTCGCTGTGCACAGGGGGGCAGGAATTGGCAAACAAGTTCCGTTCGCAGGAGGGATATGAACCGCGTTCTTAATTCATGTTTGTAGGTTTCATGGGGAAAAAAAGTCTCGTGAGACCACCATAAACAGCTGGACTGGTACCATACACCCCACCCCCTATCTTCGGTAGTCATGAGTCAGGGAATTGATCTGGCTACCTCCAGCTCATCTCCATTGCCCTACCAACGGCTTATCGTGTTCCTACAGTTCCCCCTTCTCATAACCCAAGAGGACATCACAGCGACAATACCCGTTTAGCAGTGCCGTTCCATCTGCAGTATTTTACGAATTATCGTGAAATCTCGCGCTCGCGCAAATCATTTTAATCTCCCGACGATCTGCAAGCGGATTCACGATCGTAGTCGCATCCTTTGATGTAGTCGTTTGATAAGTTCCCGTAATTATTCCCCATACTGTGCCCCCTGTGTGATTACTGTTAATCGTTCTCCGGGGCACGAGCCGTGCATCTGCATAATGCTTTCATTACTGCCATTGGGTATTTGTCGGGAAGATTCAGGCCCACGAACGATAAGCATCATCAGGGATGCCCTTTTTATCAAGTTCAGTACATGTATATGAAGAGGTGCATCAGTTCAGTACAGGAAGCAATGTTAGTGGCACGTGTATGACAGTATCTGACCGAAGGCTGGCATGACATTTTATTTGCCGATTCACCCCCCAAAATGTGTGTTTGAAGCCGTTGAGTGCGTTACGTGTGAATAGGAGAGGTTATGTTGAAATATTACCCTGATTGCCGTTTTCATCTGGTCATAATTTTGCGAGTATAATACATACGATTGCACATCTTAATCTCATCATTTTGAACCCGATCTGGTTGCTATAGGCATTAACAATATTGCAAAGCAACTTTTCTGTTTGGTGTTATAAGAGGAACAGTTTTACAACCCATTGCTTCCAGGTCTGTTTCCATCAGGTTTGAAAGTGAGTGGTTTTTTTAAGGGCTCTGACATTGAGGTTGGAGTTGCACCCTCATCCAGAGCGACCTAGCGCATGCGCGGGAAAGCTTTTTCAACGCGGAATTAGCTTGCGTGAATAAGAAAGACGCTTTACTCTATCAGTCGAAAGAACAAAGTACGATTGTTCTGTAACTGTCTCGACAGCAGTGGCGTAGCAGCAAGTTGTACCCCCCCCCAAAAAAAGCTGTCCTGGAGCTGCCAGCTTACTCTCAATTAATCCACTGCTTACCAGAACTGAACTTTACAATTTAATTCGTTGTCCTCTAACACTTACTCGAAGTTTCGAACTCCCCATCCCCAACTCAGTACCATGACGCAGTGGTAACTCTCCAGTCCCCTTCGTTAATTCACCAGTGAATGCCTTTACGAAACACAATCACGTCTCGGCATTACTCTCATGGCGCCTTCTCGAGTGGATGGTTTCCCGCCACTAAGCTCTCTTGCGCCGTGTCTTCCCGCCACTGCACTGACATGGATGTTGTTTAATAACACCTCCGGGGAAGAGCACTGAGTTAAGCAAATCAATTCCTCTTTCTGCTCGGTTTCTGCGAGGGGATTTAATAGCTTCCGGAAAATTCATTAACACATTTTTGCTGACAGAGTCGGTGATAAATCCTCCTCCGAGTGACCAATGATATACATTTGTTCATGACGTAGGCAGGCGCAACACGCAAAGTAAATACGACTGTCATCGTCATGTGTTCTCCACCAACCATTTTTCAATCGACTTGTACAGTTTTACGATATACTCCTGGATTTAGATGTGCCAGTGTTCCTCCTGAACGATGTGTTGCCCATACATAGTTCTTAATAACGAGGAACTACAGTCCTGTCAAATTCTGCCTTCTTGAGGGCTGCCCTTTTCCCTCTTATCTATCGATGCATACAGTTAACTGTCCTCGGATTATAGTTTCTGCCATTTAAGTCATGAATTTATAGGTTAGATCTTTGCTCTAGAAACTGGAGAAAATTACAGAATTGCCCTAGAAATACCTTGAATTGGAAAAAAGCATATGAATAGACTCCACCCTCACCAACTTGTTCACAACTTTAATAACACTTTTCACCAGTAATTACCAAACATATGCTATAACTGCCTTTGAGTGAAATCGTGTGTGGCCTGTAAACATTTGTATTTGTAACTTTATTTTATCAACCTCTGAAGAAGCCACGCTACGTAGAATCCTTACCACGCGAGGGCGCTCTTCAAGGCGACTGAATCGAAAACGAGCTGGGCTCGTGAAATCAGTCGATCACAGCCTGAGGTCCAATATTTTTATGATCGGTTATAAATGTTCCCCCAATGGAACTTGGAGAACTTACAACCTATTAGCGTAATCTTGTTATCGTTTATGTTTCCAATCCTGCCATTTCAGACAGGACCACTGTAAGTGTAAATTTCAAAGACCATTTTTCATAAATATTAAAGGGATGCACTCCAGAGTAAATACATATACGTGAAAGTTGCGGAGACCAGACCTTTTATATTTGGAAACTGTTGGGATTTCTTCCCTGAAAGCTGCATCTCCTCGGCTACCTGGCTCAGCTTATTTCAACGGTACGTTTGCCATTTTGTGTCATCGGTGAAAGGAGTCGGCCTAGACGACAACACAGGGCAGATTATCGGATAAACTTAAATCTGCTTAAATCTTTACAGGATGCCTCAAATTGGCTTCAGTTGTTGGCCTTAATTACTGTCTGAGGTGTAACTCGATTAAAATTGTTAGAAAACGTGATTTCGCTTAGCTTTAACAGAATACCGCTACTGTCCACGCATTAGCACCTACTTGCAATCCACTTGGATGAAAAAGCGATTCCCATCTCAGTCTTTGGAGATATTCTTGGAAGTTTTCAACAATCGTTGAATTTATCCTATTTCTTCCAGCGGAAATGCTCCTCACTAATTTAATTGCATTTTATTGCACAATGCGGCACCGTGGATATCAATCAATTCGTGGTTTTGTGGACATTGCAGCGGTTGCCTGTGTATTGGTTATTATTCGCGTAGCTGTACCATTGAGAGCAGGTTATGGACCCTTGAAAATCGATCCCGTGTGTAAGCTTGAATCAACTCCAATAAAAGGTGCTATTTTATGAGGGTAATCTGCCCACTAATGCTCGCTGAGTCGCTCGGTACAAGTGATTGCTGGCCTTGATAGGAGTAAAGGGGAAAAACGAGCAGGCATACTTGAAAGTATGACGACGAATATGGCACCGAGTTTTATCGGCGGGCTCAAAGTTCAGAGAGTTGTGTAGTCGAAACACAAAGGCTTTGAAACTTGAACACGCACGGTGAGAGGGTCAGGGGTGACTCGAACTCGTGTGTGGATACGGATATCAGGGTTGGTTTACAATAAGACATCTCCATTTCGCCCACAAAGGCCACGATGTATTGTGAGCTGATTCGCGACACGCTCACGCACAGAGCCCCACGACTGGAATTCAGTGTGGTCCGCACGATGTCTCCCTATTCTGGGGCGAGTCTTAAAGCCTCTCGCCGAGCCTTCCGTCTAAATGAGATCGACCGGCTCTCTGGATGAACGGTGGATGTTAGTCTCAGCTCCATTCTCATGTCTCATGTCAAAACATATTGGCAGTAAGCTGCGCCCTGTTGGCGAGCGCAGGTGACGCTGATCAGCTGAGAACTTACAGGCCATATAACTGAAGTTATAAATGTGTCACACATAATGATATCGCTGCTGGTGATCGTACTCACGTACTGTACATGTATATTGGGAGACATGAGTTCACTTGTACAGAGCGGCGTTCGTCATCATACAGGGGATACTTGATTTGAACATTACTAGGAGTTACTTGCCATCGTGTGATGTTCTTCCTCTGTCTTCTTGTTTTAGGGACATCACGTTGTTGAACTGCTCCATGTTGGAAATAACAGAAGTATACACCTTGTATCTGCACGCGTGGAATGACGCAACCCAAGTGCTCATCTACAGTGGATTTTAACAAATTGTTTTTGGGGGTGACCCAGCAGTGACATACATCACCAACAAAATCCTACTGACAAAGAAAGTGAAGGGTCGTCACCCAATCTTACAATTTGTGTCAAATAATGGCCAATCTATGGCCCCTGAACCATTCGTTTCTAAGCGGCTGATATATTGACCCGTGCCGCGTCAGTTTTTGTTGTGTCTGTTGACACAGCGGTTGTGAGATTTGCTTGTGAACTCCGCGGGGGGGTGTCGAAGGAAAGGTGAGAAGAATCGCCGGCGGGTCACTCCATGTCCCCAGCGTGACCTGGCGGGATTTGGACGCTCGCGTGCTGCGGCGTGGCGTGTTGAAGTGTGTGGTCTGTCGAATGTAATCTCCGTGCTCTCACTGGGAAGATAAGATCGCGACAATAACCTCAGGCTTCCTGGACTATCCTTCACTTTTGAACACCACGGTAAGTTGTTAGGTTATAGTTGTTGGATTTTCGAGCATGATAGTCCAGAGTAGAGATTTTAACATAGCGCTGACCAAAACCTCACAAAAGCAAAAGTTTTGTGGTCCCGTTACCTTCAGTTTGTATTAGTTTCATTACCGGCACATGATTCCGATGTGATTCTTTGTTCTTCCATAAAAATAATCTTGCAGTGTTTCTTGAAAATACTAGCTAACAGGACCATTCAACTTCGGTTATTATATGAGCTCTGTAAACTGCATGGTTGGCAATATTTGATGTACATGCCTGTTACGAGCAAGTGTAGTTTGAGTGACGTCGTCGGTGAATATCATTGAACGGAGGTTCCTTTTTTATCTCCCTTTTTCCTGTTGAGAACTTTCGGGTTTAATTTGGCCATCAAAAATCACAATACTTTTGACCTTCTCCACAATTCAACGAATTCGTCTGTTTTCCTTCCTCCATGGTGCGAGTGGACTTTGGTGAGTGATGGACAGTTTGTGTGTTTGAAGACCAACCACAACGTTTCTATATGGAGGTTATGCCAACAGAAAGCGCCCGTCGTTCGACCGTTGTCCACTTTTTTACTGAGTCTAGATGTTCATTGTCATTCCCATGCGGTTCGGCTACATTCAGAATGGTCTACTTGAGGGTAAAATTCCCACCTTCAATTGGGCCCCTTGAAGATTCAATATTTACCCTCCAATCAAAATACAAGGGCTAGGCTCGGGCCTCTTTCATCGAGTCACGGCTGGGGTTTTTGTGTTCTTATAGCGGTCAGTGGTGCAACAGTCGGCTGCAAACAGCGTGTACCCAAGGTGTTTTGAGTACCTGACTAGAGACTGGATGGAGGTGAAATAGAGTGCCTCTCGTTTTTTAATATCGATCATGAACAATTTACTACTTGAAGATATGGAATGACTTCCTCAATTTGCTGGATAATCATAGCCATGTTTCCCAGTCGAACAGTGCAACTTCTCTGTAGCCAGGATTGCGAAATGGTATTGTCATTCGACAGCCAGAATTAACAACAATAAATGCGGTGGCATGGCAGAACGCTCGTGAACAGGTGGTACGCGCGCGTTACACGCCTCGTCGACCAGTATGGTGTTGTGATTTGCCAAATGCACGCGCGCGTCAAACCGAGGAATGTGCACGTGACTGCGGCGCCACCGGAGTTATGGCGCCTAATCGGCTTAGTTTATAGAGACTTTTATATGATGTAACATGAGGGGCAAAGGCATTTCAGGAAGTGAACCATGTCCGTGGAGGCGTGTGCACTTTCGAATCTGTGTACTTCTATTGGCAGTTTCATATGCGCAAGAATGGTGAGAGATTTTGAAGGCCCGCGCATTTCCATGCACATCTGTGAAAGTTGAACGCCGACCGTCTGAAATCACGAAACGGAAAGTCTTCTATACGCATGTACACTGAGATTCCTTAATATTCTGGTAGATTTATGGCAGCGGCTGCAGGCACTTCTCATACAGCTGTGCATCAATTGCAAGCCGTAGCCAAGTCATCAAGACACTGCCTCTGACTCCACTGTATGTCGTCCCCGCCACCCATCCCATCTCACCCCCAGTGGAAAAGTTAACCACTTGAGCCTGCAGTCGACACATTGCACTAGCAAAACAGGATAATGATTTTCCGAAGCAATCCATGTCCGTGCCAGCCAAGAAGGAGACGAAATGAGACCACGCTCAAGAGTCCGGCGGAGCCTCTCTGATAAATTAGGACGAGAGCGATCGGCAATTTCCCCCCGTCAGTGCCGAAGGCAGCATGGCGGTACCCTCTCTTTGAATGATCCCGAAGTGCTTTGATGAATTATTTTAATGAAACCAAGTCGTAGTCATTTACGCCGGCCCTCCAGTGAAATATGGCCGCATACCCGGCGTAATTCGAAGTGAATATGCTGTAAGGAGGAGTGTTATTTATCAGTCTCCTGTAAAGGACCATGGCCTATCAAAAGTTGTTTATATATGGAGAATCAGGGTGCATGATTTTTTTTTGGGGGGGGGGGCTTTCAATTAACTCCGCCGGGTTCCCCCTTGCTGTGAGCTTACAGTCAAATAAGAGAGATCGCAGTATTTTTCATCAGGGTTAAACCCTTGGTTAGATAAAGGAAAATTGGTGGAAAATTAAATTTAATGGGATTGGATGGCGTCCAATTCTTATCCACGTTTGGGCCTATCTCTTGCAGTGATCCGCATGAGATGCATACGAAAGCACTATGAAAGGCTACGACTTGAAATTACACGACTCTGTAGAAAGTGGCTTCGGCCACTGCCGCAGACTCGTGTGCAATTTCAAGCTACAACCAAGTCATTTGGACATCGCCTGATAATTATCTCAGTGACAAATCCGCAAGCTACTTTGAAGATCCTGGCATTGCAGCATTCGGGTTTGGAAATCACCTGAAGTGGCACCATGACAAGCGCAGATTAACTGCTGCTTTTCAACTAATGACATGATCCAACCGGTTGATAATGAAGACACAAGCATGTCAATTATAAATTATATCGTGGACAGATTGCTTTGTTGTCACTTCATCGTATGACGGATGTGTAGCGTGAATCCAACCGCACATTTGTCATGTGCACGGCAGGAATGAAATCCGTTTGCCCCGTCAGGAATTTTCAGTGGGTTTGCGTTAAATTGATTGGATAGCACGACTTACGAACTTTGGCCAGCGAGTAAAGACATGCGGCCCAAAATCTGAAGACAAACATTCTTTGTTGCAGTCAACAATAACAAAAGTGTGAACGATAATAACCAACAATATTACTCCTCCTGGCAGAGATTGTGTTCCCTGGAGTCTCGTGTCATAAATATTCCCCGCAGCGGGATTGGTATGTTTAACTTGGGGTCACACGGACAATTAATCTTGAATTTTGACTGAATGTTTATATATGCCAACCCTTTTGCCTTATGTCAAACAGGCAGGTATGCCATGTACACGTACGGTTCCCCTTTTCTAAGGCCCAGTGGCGTATATCGATGCGTGATTATTGGTTAACCACCACCACGAACCCATGTTCACTCCAGCTTCGTCCGACAGTTGAAAACAGTGCATCAGCCATTATTTTCTCAGATCTACTACAAAATGTCAAGGTCTCTGTGTGTAAACAAGACATGTTTTACACAGCAACGATCTAGCCCGACGCACCGTATGCCAGTGACCTGGTACGTGCGCGTACGGCACAGGGTACGCACGAGTAATGTTTTGTAATTAAGCACGAATACGCGTAAATCCGTGGGGTATGCGCGCATAAAGCTACCAATCATGTCCAAGACTCAGTCCGGTTTCTCCACTCGCCACGGTAGAGGGGGTAGTTGTGCACGCACCCAATGTTAACGATGTCCCTTACGGGCCGATCCACCCAGTACTCGTATACCAATGAGCGCTTTCACAAATTCGTCGAGGCGTTGCATAGCCGGACGACCAGCGTTATTGTCGTTCGAGTGTCGGCCTTCTCATTACTGGCAACGATCGATGAATCCTTGCTCGGGTCCATGTATGCAACAGAAGCACGAGTACGTTACGAAGTGTTTCTTGTATAAATTAAATCCATTTATTTAATATACAGTGACATAACTTAGCCTGTTTTGATGATCTGGGTTTTACGGTTTTCTACACGTCCTGCAATTCAGTTTTTGGAATATAATATCAATCGTGTCAGGTTTTCCCTGATGGTTCCCCTAATTACAATGCGTTTTTTCTTGTAAGCGTGTATAACGATATAAACTAGTTTTATATCTACTGTGTTACGCACGGGCTAAGTTTATTTAATCTGGGAGAGTTTGTTTACGGCTCCAGTATTTTTATGAACCAGGAAATTATTTTGGTCGGGAGGCTACAGAACGTGACATCGCCGAAGTTCATTACGGAATTCCCTTCACTCATCTCCTTGGCACGGGATAAAATCACTTGGCGTGTTTGAGGCAATGTATGCATGGGAGCACATTTGGGGCTTTCAAGTTATTTTCGCTTGAGTGTAACCTTTGTGGGGAAGCATAAAGCTTTCATGCCATACGTGAATTGACAAAATACACTAGGTCTTGCTAGTTTTGCAGTAAATATGAGTCCATCCTCAATGCACGTCAAGTATTAGTAAATATAACCGACAGGGCCAGTGGGTATTAGGAAGAATGCGTTTGACTTTCTTCAGTTTTTACAAATCCGCACGGCCGTCCAAGCTTCACCAATCAAGACAGTTTCGTTATTGTGTCAAAGAAGCCATACAAATTATACAGAAGCCGGAGCTTTCACACAAGTCAGTGGCGTAGGGAAAGATATCCGTGAGACGGGAAAGCAAGCTTTGTGTTTCCAGCAGCATCGGGACTTCTCTGTATTCAAGAGCGAGGTCGGTGGATTGAGGAATGAGACAATGCAGCTACGACGTCGACTCTGAGTGAATGCTGCTGGCATTATACATAACGATGCCTGCTTTAGGACACGTTGAATTGCTAATTGCGCTGGCTGTGAATGGAGGTGGGGCTAAGGAGCAATTTCTGGAGAGTTAAGGCCAAGAGGTACTCTTTTGCTTGCTTACTGCTTACAACAACTGCCTCTTACTTTTGAAACGGGGAAAATACTATACTGAATAGTAGTAGCGAAGCAGTCCGTTTACATGCACATACAGTACATGTACGTGTGCGAACCTAAGAGTAAAAATATGAGCAACGAAATTAAAGTTTAATCAAATTCATACCATTTTACGTTTAGAATCACTTAAATTTTGTGATGATTTGCATCATTAACACAGAAAAAAAGGAAAGTGGGGCTTGGAACCCCAACAGTCTGGCACCACCCCACTTAACATATTGCATTGAATATAATAGATTCAGGGAACAAGATCAAAATGGCTGCCTCGTGAATAAGGCATATTGTCGTGTTGTTCATTCGTTCTGTGTCTTGAGTTCCCCCTGTCTGTCGGCATGAGAGCCATTAGGCTTTTGGTGTGGGGCTGGCTGCTGGCAGAGTAACTTCCTCGATGAGT